GATAGTTCTCTCTGTCCGTCCATTCGTCTGCGGATGATAGGAAAAACTCAATCTCAACATGGTACCCAAAGCGTCTTGCAAACTCTTCCAGAATCTCGATGTAAATCTAGGATCTCCATATGACACAATACTCGATGGTATCCCATGCAAATTTAAAATTTCCTTAATATACATCTCAGCTAGCTTCAGCATAGAACGATTAATCCTCATTGGTAAGAAATGAGCTGATTTAGTCAATCTATCCACAATCACACAATTAGAATCATTCCCCCTCACAGTCTTCGGTAAACCTGACACAAAATTCATGGAAATACTATCCCATTTCCACTCTGGAATATTCAACGGTTGCATTAGACCCAACGATCTTTGACGTTCAATCTTCGACTTCTGACAAGTCTAACCAGCATACACAAACTCAGCCACTTCTTTCCTCATCCCTGGCCACCAAAACAATTTCCTCAAATCTTGGTACCTCTTCGTAGCACCGGGATGGATACTAAATCTACTTCTATGTCCTTCCTCAAGAATACTCTTTTTCAACTCAACAATATCTAGAACACAAACTCTATCACGACATCTCATGATACCATTTTCATTAATTTGAAAATCATCTCTTTGACTTTGATTCATCAAATTCAACCGATCTACCAACTCAAATCAGATTTCTGACCTTCCTCGAATCTCATCAAGAATACCACTAGTAAGCTTTAACATACCAAGCGTAACTCCATAAGAAGTCTCTTCTCAAACCAAACTCATATCACGAAATTGCTCAATCAGTTCTAACTCTTTTACCATCATCATCGGTATGTGCAAAGATTTCCTACTCAATGCATCAGCTACCACACTTGCTTTATCCGAATGGAAATTCAAACCAAAACCATAATCCTTCAGAAGTCCCAATCATCTCATTTGCCTCGCATTCAATTCTTTCTGATCAAATAAATACTTCAAACTCTTATGATCACTAAACATCTCAAATCTCGAACCAAACAAATAATGCCTCCAAAGCTTCGACACAAACACAACAATCAACTCTAAATCCTGCGTTAGATAATTCCTCTCATTCAATTTAAGTTTCCTTAAAGCATAAACTAAAACTTGCTGATGTTGCATTAACACACCTCCCCATCCCATCAACGAAGCATCACAATATACAATAATGGTTCTGCCGGATTCAGAAAAATCAAAACATGAACTGCTAGCGGGCTTCTCAAAAGCTCTTGAAACTTCTTCACACTTTGCATCCAAAACAAAATCTTGAACCTTCCTAGTCTACTGTGTCAATGGCAAAGATAACTTGGAAAAATCGTTCAATGAATTTTCGATAATAATCTGCCAACTCAAGAAAACTTCTAATCTCAAAAACAGGTTTTGGAACTTCCCATTGCGGTACAACTTCAACCTTCGACATTTCAACCGCAATAACTCTACTCGAGATCACATGACCAAGAAAACTCACTTCCTTAAACCAAAACTCACACTTTGACAGTTTTGCATACAACTGCTTCTCTTTCAACGCTGATAACACAATTTTCAGATGCTTCGCTTGATCCTCGTTACTCTTCGAATATATCAAAATATCATCAATGAACACAACCACGAACTTGTCCAAATAAGGATGGAAAACCTTGTTTATATACTCCATAAATACACATGGTGAATTAGTCACACTAAATGGTATCACGAAATACTCATAATGTCCATACCTTGTTTTAAAAGCAGTCTTTTGAATATCTTCAGCCTTCACACGAATCTGATGATACCCAGATCTCAAATCTATCTTACTGAACACACTTGAAACAACCAACTGATCCATCAAATCATCAATCCTTGGAAATGGACACTTATTCTTGATAGTCACCTTGTTCAATTGTCTATAATCCACACAAAGCCTCACAAAACCTTCTTTCTTCTTAAGTAACAAAATTGGTGCACCCCATGGTGACACACTCGGACAAAAGAATCTCTCCTCAAGAAGATCTTCCATTTGATTCTTCAACTTCTCCGATTCCAGTGTGGACATATGATATGGAGCCATCGCTACCAAACTAGTTCCAGGAACTACGTCGATCGTAAACTTCATTTCACGTTCCGGCGATAAATTACTTATCTCATCAGGAAAAACTTCCGGATAATCACAAATAATTGGCACACCACCAACTTCCCCAATTTATTAACACTCAAAGTTTCCATCAAAATAAACATCTCAGCACCATCGTACACCGACTCACGAAAACAATTTGTAAGCACTTAACTTAACTCAAAACAATTCACTGCGCACGTCATCTAAGCTTGCAAGACACGTTTATCCCATCCAACATGACTCTGTCTACTATCAATAGACATCCGAAAATCATGATGGGGCATAAACCATCTTTACCAAACTATAAGAGCGTTCATCGACACACTGAGTCACCACTCCACACTTGAAGCATCCTGGAGAAGCACAAGCTTCTCCCCCACTTGAAGTGTCTTGAGCAACAAAGTCTTAAATATTTGTGGAAATTATCATTGAAAGAGAAGATCAATCATAAGATTGATAACTTTGTATACACAGACTTCAAACTCATTGTAAATCAAAGATTGTATCTATTCTCCTTGCTATTCAGGATTGTTGAAAGCAAGTGTGTGCATTGAAGAGGATTCTTCTTCTTGCACTTAGTGTTCAGATTTTAAAGGTGTTAATTAAAGACCTTTAATTTACCTATAGGTTAAATAGTAAGTTATACACTCATTCTAACTATAGTGAAATCTTTTTTGGTGTGAAAGGGGACTGGAGTACCTTGAGAGTGTGAAGAGAATCAGGATACTTCTCTGTGTTATTTACTTTCTATACTTTATTGGTTTCATAACCCCTTCATATTTCAAAGAAAGTAATAACCTCATTTCATAAAACCAGAAAATTTCAAAGAACCTAATTCACCCCTCCCCCCCCCCCCCCCCCCCTCTCTCTTAGGTGCAACTCAGACTATCAGGTCCAAGTATGGGAAGAAGGATAGTAATTCTTAGTAATTCTTACGTTATTATTTCATCTAATCGACTTACAACATGCTTCAGCCAAGGCGCAATAAAGGCAAGGGTTACTTTCGTTTTCTTCAATCAAAGAAAATGTTTGATGTTTTTATTGACAACCTCAAGAATTTTAGAGATCATATTTTCCAGTCGTGAGGCAAATTCAATCCTTGTGTTTTGGGGAGAGTTCTCCATCTTGCCCCCTAATTATGAACAATCTATTAATGTCAACTATGTTTCCTTTCAATGCTTCAACCGGAGAGACATTTTAGCTCCAAATAGCCTAAGGAGAGAAAAACAACTTCTAAGGAACCAATGCGCTATTTTTATCGGGTTTAAATTGCTTTGGTTGTATGCTTTGAAGCGTATGAGAAAACATTCCAGATTTATGGAACTATATTGCATTGACCGTATAGTTTTAAGTGTTTATGGCAGCACCCTGGAACTCTTCGCTCCTCGGTTCAGATTTCTTTTAAAGTTTTGTTCTTCTGATGACAAAATGTTAGACACAATGTTGAAACAATGTGTATGACAATTAATATGTGTAACTGAAAGAATAAATCATAATATAAATAACACATGAATTTGTAATCCAGTTTGATATAAAATCACATACGTTTGGAGCGCATTAACTCAATAAAATAAAATTCACTCTTAATAGTCAAAAGTACAAATTAGTCTAATTTAAACTCTCTCAGTTCAATGTCTTTTTTCGAATATTACATGTGAACTATGATCCAGACTCTACCAAGTGTTTGAGCAGTTACAAAAGTATATGAACGAAAAATATTAATACAACTCAAATAGTATATTTTTCTACGTATGAATAAAGTATTAGAATCATATCATATCGAAGAGTGAGATCTTATCCAGAATTCTTCGCCTAGTAGATTAATTCTTGAACCGTTATATGCAACATTTTATACTGCTTTCTCATAATATTTTTTCTCATAATATTTTTTCAACATATTCCGTGCTTTTCAAAAAAGATTGGAAGCACACCTTTTTTATATGCAAAATTTTATACTACTTTCTCATAATATTTTTCCAACCTACTCTGTGCTTTTCGAAAAAGATTGGAAAGCTTCTTGACCTTCACATTTCTACCAGTATTTTTTCAGCATATCCCGTGCTTTTCGAAATTACAGCATTGAATATTAATAAATGAAACATTTTTTTCAATTCTTATCATTAAAAATTAAAAGATTTGCAGAGAAGTTAATTTAGAGAAAGATAGAGAGAGTGTTGAAATGAAAAGAAAGATAAGGGAGAGCATTGAATATTAATAAATGGAACATTTTTTTCAATTCTTATCATTAAGAATTAAAAGATTTGCAGAGAAATTAATTTAGAGAAAGATAGAGAGAGTGTTGAAATGAAAAGAAAGATAAGGGAGGGGAGAGATAGTGATGAATATTAAATGAGAAAAAATTCTATTATTAAAAGATTATTAGGAAACTACTCAAATAATTATTATATATAAAAAAAACTATCTACGAATTAATACCCAATAAGTGAGAGATTCAACTCTTATGGACCCACATGAACAACGTGGAAACGGAAAACAACTCAAAAGCATAATTCTGTAAACAGAAAACGAACAAGAGTTAAGTTAGAAAATGTTTTTTTTTTCTTCTTTTCTTCTTCAATCACTCGTGAGCCATTTGAGGCATTTATATGAGAGTGCCATGATTTTTTGGCATTTAAAAAGAAAAAAAAAAACAGTTTCTGATTTAGTTTCCTATTATGTATCATATGTTACTGATATTCAGATTTAATTACAGCAAAGTGCTAAAAATCAACCCTATTATGTATCGCAAGTTACTGATATTCAGATTTAATTTGTCAGTAAGTTTAACTCTCAGATTTAAAAAAATAAATAAATATCTCAAACATTATGAGAGAAGTGAAACCATGCAAAATAAAAAAGGAAATACAACATCTAAAACAGTATCATACTAACTAATATATTTACATATATTTTGTTACTGAATATAGGATAGGCCAGTGATATCTATATCACGATCCCCAGACGAAGCAGGAGGATTGTGTATGGGTTTCATAGTGTTCTTATCAACCGGTCCATCAGCACTTTGAGTATCACTAGCCGGCGGTTTTACTTCTTTTTCTTGTTGATCTTTCTCTGTTGCGTACATTCCACCACCATAGGCACCTTCTGTCACTGGCTTCATCCTTGATATTTGAGGTCCTTCCCCCAGTTTCTTCTCTTCCTTAACCTGTTTTTCCATTTCTGATGTTGAATGTTTCAATGCTCCTCTCACATTTGCCACCACAGAGTTGAAGCTACCACCCATCACTCGGCGTGTGTTATGTAGATTTTCATTTGGGCTTGTAAAATGGACGAGTGTCCTTTTGCATTTACGTGGCAACGTAGCTCCATGCCATGCAACCCATGTTCACTTTGACCGATCCATATCCATTCTTCTACTGTTTTCTTTATATATATTTTTTAATAAAAGAAATTGAGAGATATAACAGATTTATCAACACTGTCCTTGGATTGAACACGTGTTAAAAGTCTTCTTTAAAATAGAGTTTCTTCATTAAGATTAAAACACAAATTAACAAGACTTTTTTATTAGTAGGAGAGGATAAGGCAATTTAAACAATACGAGTAATTTTTTTTTAAAAGCAAATGAAATTGATTAGAATACAAGGGTATTTAACCCATTATAAAATAAGAGGCCACTATGGAAATTCCCAACCAATAGAGAACTAACTTAATAAACTTATACTTGTGATGTGAATACAACTTTCAATGAAATGCTAACAAGTATTCTAGAATACTTTTTAAGATCATAAAATATTACTTTTGTTCCTTCAAATACACATATTTAATATTTTGAAAATTAAAATAATTATTTTTTTATAAAATGTCATTTAATTTAGAATTCTTAAAGAGTATTGATCAGATAAACGTTAGCAAGATTCTATTTTTAATAAGAGTTTTTTTTTTCTTTTAGTTTTGAGACTTCTTTCTTATTCTTGAAACTCAACTATCCAAAATATTACTTTATATTAAATTAAAATCAATGTGATTGTCAATTGTAAAAATATTACAAAATATGATATATTTATTTATTAGTAATTTTAATAGTTATTGTTATAAAATAATTTTTAAATGTGTGGTCGTCGATAGTGAGATTTCTCACGAATGTTTTTAAAGGATGTTAAAATCGTTAGTCTATTCAGATTCGTAATGAATTCGTAGACTCGACTCACAAACTCGTACGAAAGATTTAAAGAATAGAATACATGATCCTGCTACAAAGGAAGGTTTATAGTGAGCCTCCAACGCTTGGTCAATGGTCTCCGTTATGGGCTGAGTGTTCAAGCCCACAACGGATGGCTGTCCGGATTCCTACGTTAAAGTAGGGATGAGCAGTTTGTGCTCATCATCTTAGGTCAACCGCTCCGCACTCCACGGATAGTGGATGAACTTGCCCGTTACGAAAGGCAAAACAGTTCTGCGAGGTGTGCAGGTTCAATAGGTGACGTGTCGTCGGGTGAGGAGCATGTGGGGAACATGTTCTCCATTGGCCCTAACGGGTTGGGCCAACACTCTAGACCGTCCTCAACGTAGAACTGAATTGGACTATACTCGACGGTGGGTCAGACACATGCCCATTCTAGAATAGGAGCCCCCTAAATCGTTGCTCCTAGGCAAAGGATCAATGACATAAAGTTAGTTTGCGTGTCGAGGAGGAACAAAGGACTCTGCGCGATGAGAGCAATCACTGGGGCTTGCGTTTACAAGCTCGCGTTGTCATAGACGGTGCTCGCCATGGGCATTTCTTGTTCGTGAGTTTGCGCCAACGAGGACGATGTTTTGCTCTTAACTTGTTGCATTTTGCTTATGAGGAAGAGGTGTCGTGCAAGGATTACAGTCGAGAGTTTAGCTTGCAATCACGTTGAGCGCTTGGCTTTGCTCGCGAGTTATCATGGTGCCTATAAATTTGCTTCAAGTTTTTCTCTGAGGCCATGCTCATGAGGGAATGCGAAAGTTTTTCTCTTGTGTTCTACAAGGATGCTCGACGTCTTTGAATCCCGAAGATTGATGGGATTTGAAGAGAAAAATGCTCCATCCCCCCGATCCACGCGTCATAACTATTAAATGTGTAATGATGGCCTATGAATAAGGGTAATTGTGAGCCAAAACGGCAATACGTTTACCCATGTAGTGGAGTTGGCTTATAAATAGGAAGAAATGGAGGGACATTTGTAAAGTTTGTTTCCTTTTTCCCTCTACTTTTCCTCCGAGTTGTAGAGCATCGCCACCGCCATTTGTCGTTGCCACCATCATCAACCTTCGTCGCTTTCCTAAATCAAGTAAGTTTTCCTCTTCTCCTGGCTTACATGTTGATGTTAGTTCTAGAATATCGATTTATCTACCCTTTGTGTTTGGTTCCGCTAGGTGTTGGTGTTTGGTGGTGGTTTGGCCATTTCCAAACGTCGGTTGTTGGGGTTTTTATGTTAGAAAGTTACTGTTTCGCGTGTTATCTCTCCTGATAGTCACTCCGGCGCCACCATTAAGGAGGTGGATAGAGCATGTGCCGGTGGAGCTCATGAATTTTCTGATGAAGTTTTGTATCGAGGAGGCTCTTCCCCGTGATTTTATTGGTGAGTTGACTAAGACCTCTGTCGAGGAGAAAATCCTTGCGATTTCTTTGCTTGTCGTTGAATAAGGGCTTTGGTCGAGGGCAGCGTCCTCATGCCTCTTTTCGCCATTTCACTTTATTTGCAGTGGAAGGGTAGATTTTATTTGATCGTCGAATTCACTTTTGTCCTCTGCATTTCAGTTTTGTATGGCTCGTAGCGCCAAGGATCTTCGCTTGGTCGACACAATTAATGATCTTGAATTAGCTTGGGTCGGGTCGGAACCTTGAGGGATAGCCTCGTGTTTTACTGACTTCCCAGAGAGTGCATTTACGATATTCGAAGAAGGCGCGGGGTATCCGGAGGCTCCGAAGAACTGGGCGGTTTATAAATTGAGCGGCAGGAACGGGTTTGCTCGCATTTCATGGGGAACCGTTTTGCTTTGTACGAGTCTGCGTTTAAAAAGTTGGGGTTTCAGTTGTTATTCAGCAGTCTCCAAGTGGGCATTTTTGATCGGTTGGTGTTAGCGCCCTCTCAGCTGCATCCGAACTTGATTGCGTTTATTCGGGCCTTCGAGATCGTGAGCCAATATCTTGAGATCGACGCCATTATTCCTATGTTCTTGCGATGTTTCCACCTTCAACGAAAAACTTTGAAGGGGAAGCATACTTGGGTTTCCATTAAGCAGCCGAAGAAGTTGTTCAAAACATTTATGGACTCTGTTCACACTTTTAAGGATAAGTATTATACAATTAAGCTCGTGACGCGAGCAACCATTAATTCTGTGTTTGAGCGTGTGGTTGTAACTAAAGAAGATGGGAGCGTGAGTCGCGACAAGAATGGGGACAAGGTGACGATGATGGTCTCGAGGTCCCCCCGTAGCTGGTGTAGTGCCCACTTTGATGGAGTACGAAGACCAATGTGGCTTCGACAAGCTTGTGAAGCTCGTCGACTACTTCACTCCTGCTCGTTGGGAGACTAAGAACGGGGTAGATTTCCTCGGCGAGCATGTTGTCGCTACTACGAAAAAGAGGCCGGCTGACTGACAGAAGAGTCACCACCAAACGTTATTTATCCCAAAGAGAGGGAAAGGAAACGATCGAAGAAAACCTGACGAAAAGGGAAAAGACAAGGTCATCGCAACCAAATCTTGGGTTCAGGAGTCGGTTACGCAAGGGGAAGGTATGAGCACCCCTCACGTCCGTTATACTCAATGGATCCATGCTTGTTGTATATCTGCGGGTGTAAACTATCTAAAAGACTTGCACACGGGGGAAAGGAAAAGAAAAGAGACTCGATAGGACATCGTGTAACGCCCCATATTGCTTTTTAGGATTACCGACTGACCCCACAAACCAACACGGGTCTTTTCAGCATGCTTTGTCCTCAATCACACGCTTTCCAGGAAACTTCCCAGAAGGTCACCCATCCCAGAATTGCTCCAAGTCAAGCACACTTAACTGTGGAGTTCTTATGAACGGGCTACCGAAAAGAAGATGCATCTTGTTGGTATAGGTAGTACCAATTAATCCTTATAAGTCTTCATTCAACCATGCAGTCCCATACCTGCATAGCCTCAGGATCCCTCTCATTCGGATGTGAATTCGGTTTTCCCCTAGAAGCTGCTAGGAGTGTCTCATTGTCATGCCTCATGACACCGACAACGACTCCCACGCCTACGGGTGCTACATGTAACCACCGTCCACTTTCACCTCAGGTGTTACACATCGCCGCCCTATGCTTACGTATTCTCTCGTGCAATGGGAAAGTCAGAGACAACGTAGTTCGGAAAACTACGAGTGAAGGGGGAAAGGTTGCTCGCCAAGACATCGACGTCTTGTGCCTACGTATCCTCATATAGTATGAGAAATCAGAGAAAACGTAGTTCGGGATGACACGGCCACTGTTTGGTTCAAGTGTTTTAATGAGTAGGGTTAAATATCCGTTCTAGTAGTTAGGGACGATGCCTGTTTGCGGTAGAACGAAAACTTAACACACTCTTTCTGAAAATTATGTTTGAAAACAATCCCGAAGGATAAAAAGGTTTTGATTTTTTTTGTGTTTTTTAGAGAAGAAGTTAATTGAATTAGTTTGTAACTCAAGTTGCACTAGAGACTATGACATAAGAGCGAATGCGTTACATATCGCCCAAAGGGCATACGTTAAACACTCTAGACAATGTGAGAGGATGGGCACACTCATCATTCCTTATGTACTTAAGGCTCGTAGCATACAACAATTGTTAACCTTTAGTAAGTGTCTTAAAGAGTTATGAGATGAGAAGAGAAGACACAAGACTCTAAGGGGAACTGATCAACCCTAATGTTAGCATGCAATGTGATCCTAAAGTTGGGATTAAAAAGGGGACTACCTAATGTTATCATGTAAAGGATTGAAATCCTAATGTCCCTCCTACTCCCATCTTAAACAGAGGGACTAGGAATCCTAAGGGATCATGGCAAGAAGCACAAGTAAACACATAGCAAATCAATCACAGATGAAAAGAGATGAGAGACTTAAACAAGTCAATGAAATGCAAACACAAATTCAAGCACAAATGCAAGTATGAAATGATGCAATAAGACTCAAAGAGAAAGGAGACTCAAACACAAGATATGACTTGAACAAGTCA